GGGGGAGAAAGAAACAGGAGGGAGGGGGGGAGAAAGAAACAGGGAGGGAGGGGGGAGAAAGAAACTAACAGGGAGGTGGGGGAAAGAAACTAACAGGGAGGGGGGAAGACATTGACAGGGAGGGGGAGTGACAGGGGAGGGGGAATGAGAGTAACAAGGGAGGGGGAGAAGAGAGTGACAAGGGAGGGGGGAGAGATTGACATCCATTACACACACACACAATCACACACAAAGACAATGAACCCCTTGCACACAGAAAAACACACAATGCATTACACACACGCAATGCATTACACACACGCAATGCAAGCCTTACACACAATGCATCCCTTACACACACAGAAACACACAATGCATTCCTTACACACACTCAATGCACCCCTTAAACACACTCAAAGCACCCCTTACAGACTCACACACTTCATCCCTTACATACACAGAAACACACCTTGCAGTCCTTACACATACAAACACAGATTCACAAAATGCATTCCTTACACACAAATCAGGACATCCCCTACACACTCCACCCCCTGTGAACAAACTCATTGGTGGAACATGAAGGTGGACCCTGGGACCCAGACCTTGAGCTGTGTAAAGGGCCCCCAAAAATGGAGCTGCTTCCCGTTCTCCCAGAACATTGATTTTTGTGACCACAGTTACAAACAGCCTCCAGAGAGCCTGTTCTGCACCAGACCAGTGGAGCCAGACTGCAGCTAGAGCCCATCACCATCCCCATCTGCTTGGAAGTAGGTAATCTAGTATATTATTCGTGGCACTAAGCTCTAATTTACCTCACATTAAAGAAACACTATAGTCCCCAGAACCACTGCTGCTTAATGTAGTTGTTCTAGTGTCTATAGCCTGTCCCTGCAGGCCTTATAATGTAAACACAGCAGCACTAGCGTTAGTTAACATGGCAGGTCATATGGGTGGGGCATTGTGATGTCACGGTGGCAAACTTTACTTTTGCCTAGGGCGGCAAAAATCCTTGCACCGGCCCTGCTCTAGGGTAGTGTGTACCTAATAGCTTTTATAATCCTTATATAATGAGATTTGGGATATAAACAATATTAATTGATCTGCTATGTCCCCCAGGGTGGAAACAACAGAATAAGGCAGAGGGTGAGTGATTACCTAAAACAGAGGGGTGTATGTGACACCTCCAATGCTAATAGAAATGTATAAAAGAGCTATTATTTAATAACCAGACCAGACTAACAAAAATAGGCTCTATTTCTTAACACACCTGCAAGAGATCCATGGTAATACTAAGATAACAGTTCCAGAATTTTATTTTTCTTTTCAGAAATGGTTGTCTTTACAGAAAATACAGTTTGGTTTGATATTGTGTTGGTGTCTTAGTTTCCATTCCTTTACTTAGATGATTTTTTTTGTTAAATAACTTAACAAGCCTCATGTTCAATCTGTCGCCAATTCCTGTCATTTCCATCTCAAAAACATTGCGCGCATCCGCCCCTACTTAAAGTCAGATGCGACTAAGGTGTTTGTCCATTCCACTGTCCTTTCTTGCCTTGACTACTGTAATCTGCTTCTCAGTGGTCTTACGTGCTCCCAACTAGCGCGGTTACAGTCCATAATGAATGCGGCGGCAAGGCTCATCTTCCTGTCTGCCCGCAGCTCCCATGCCTCACCCTTCTGTCAGTCCCTACATTGGCTTCCTATAAAATATAGAGCTCAATTTAAAATTCTGGTTCTTGCTTTCAAATCTCTACATAATGCTGCTCCCACCTATCTATCTTCCCTTATACACATGTATGTCCCGTCTAGGCCCTTACGATCTGCTGAAGACTTACATCTATCTTCTGTCTGTACTCCCACCTCTGATGCTCGCCTTCAAGATTTCTCGAGGGCTGCACCATTGCTGTGGAACTCGCTTCCCTCCTCCATTAGATGCTCACCCAGTCTCCACTCCTTCAAAAAATCGTTAAAAACCCGATTCTTCATAAAAAGCATATCATTAAACTGTTAATATCTCCTGACTGATTCCTCTTCTGCAACTGTCATTAGTCTAATACTATCCTTACCTTTTTGTGTCATTTTACCCCACTCCCTCTAGCATGTAAGCTCATTGAGCAGGGCCCTCAACCCATCTGTTCCTGTGTGTCCAACTTGTCTGGTTACAAATACATGTCTGTTAGTCTACCCATTGTAAAGCGCTGCAGAATTTTATGGTGCTATATAAATATAATAATAATAATAATAATAATAACAGCATAATCTAACATGTGGAATTGCTGTAGTTTTGTTTTTTCGTGCCTGCATATTATATGCTTTACATTATTATATCTATTTTTCACTCTGGGAGTTTATTTGGCTCAACCGTTGTGTTAGTTAAGAAAGGGACTTTAGGAAGCCCAAGTTTCTTTTTTGATTATTCTATATTCTCACGTTTATCCATATGTGTACATTTTATTTCTATAATACCACAATGTCCAGAAGAACCCAGAACATAAAGCAGTAAAATATCATAGAAGCAAGGATAATAGCAGTGTTTACCCAAACTTCGAGTAAACATGGGAGAATGTAGTACTACCCTCAGGAAATGTCAATATGTTTGGAGAAAACAGCTGTGGGATATAGTAGATAGAAGAACAGATTTATAGAACATGTCAAGTGGCTTATTCAATGTAAACAATATTTAGAAGTTGGCTGCACACTGCGCAATATTTATCTCTGAAAAAAACAGACAATTCCAGGTAAACCATACTGCAAACGAGGAGCTTAACCGGCAAATATACAGATTTGGTCAATTTCAGTTAAAAATGCTTTTAAATATATAAGAAAAAACAGTGAGCTGAAATAATAAAAACATAAAAAAGTTATCCACATTTGATTTTCTTGTATTTGCTGTAAATCCTCAGGCTTTGCAGTTTGTGCAGTGAGCTCTGCATAGACATGGAAGTGACTTAACCAATCATGATGCTCTCTTAGCTGTCTATGTCATTGGAAAGGTTATCACATCAATTCCTGCACCGCAACTGGGGTTTTTAAGAGTTGTTGTTCAATAGTCAGAATTCTGCTGGTTGTACCTCCCTTAACCGCTGAACTAAAAAGCACCCCCCTCTAAATATAATTAATGACATCATGTTCACCATTGTTATTGAAGCAAAAATGGGAAATACTCCAGTTTTGATATGGACCTCACCTACCCCACAGGACACCTAACGTGTGTGGAGTGTCCCTTTAATATTATAAACTGATCCAACGAACAGTAACCTAACCTACACAGTGCATCTAACGTGTGTGGGAGCCTGGCGTGTCCCTTTAATACTATAAACCCTCCCAGTATAACTAACTGTAACCTAACCTACACAGTGCACCTAACGTGTGTGGGAGCCTGGAGTGTCCCTTTAATAATATAAACCCACCCAGTATAACTAACTGTAACCTAACCTACACAGTGCACCTAACGTGTGTGGGAGCCTGGAGTGTTCCTTTAATAATATAAACCCACCAGTATAACTAACTGTAACCTAACCTACACAGTGCACCTAACGTGTGTGGGAGCCTGGAGTGTCCATTTAATAATATAAACCCACCCAGTATAACTAACTGTAACCTAACCTACACAGTGCATCTAACGTATGTGGGAGCCTGGAGTGTCCCTTTAATAATATAAACCCACCCAATATAACTAACTGTAACCTAACCTACACAATGCATCTAACGGGTGTGGGAGCCTGGAGTGTCCCTTTAATAATATAAACCCACCCAGTATAACTAACTGTAACCTAACCTACACAGTGCACCTAACGTGTGTGGGAGCCTGGAGTGTCCCTTTAATAATATAAACCTACCCAGTATAACTAACTGTAACCTAACCTACACAGTGCATCTAACGTGTGTGGGAGCCTGGAGTGTCCCTTTAATAATATAAACCCTCCCAGTATAACTAACTGTAACCTAACCTACACAGTGCATCTAACGTGTGTGGGAGCCTGGAGTGTCCCTTTAATAATATAAACCCACCCAGTATAACTGTAACCCAACCTACACAGTGCATCTAACGTGTGTGGGAGCCTGGAGGGTCCCTTTAATAATATAAACCCACCCAGTATAACTAACTGTAACCTAACCTACACAGTGCATCTAATGTGTGTGGGAGCCTGGAGTGTCCTTTTAATAATATAAACCCACCCAGTATAACTAACTGTAACCTAACCTACACAGTGCATCTAACGTGTGTGGGAGCATGGAGTGTCCCTTTAATAATATAAACCCACCCAGTATAACTAACTGTAACCTAACCTACACAGTGCATCTAACGTGTGTGGGAGCCTGGAGTGTCCCTTTAATAATATATACCCACCTAGTATAACTAACTGTAACCTAACCTACACAGTGCATCTAACGTGTGTGGGAGCCTGGAGTGTCCCTTTAATAATATAAACCCACCCAGTATAACTAACTGTAACCTAACCTACACAGTGCATCTAACGTGTGTGGGAGCCTGGAGTGTCCCTTTAATAATATAAACCCACCTAGTATAACTAACTGTAACCTAACCTACACAGTGCATCTAACGTGTGTGGGAGCCTGGAGTGTTCCTTTAATAATATAAACCCACCCAGTATAACTAACTGTAACCTAACCTA